GTCAGTGTGGTAATTTCCCAAGAGATTATTTATATTGCTTTTTAACATTTTCTTAAAGATGCCCCGATAGTACTCTCAGATAGTGAAGAAGAAGAAATGATCATTTTAGAGCCAGACAAGAGTCCGAAGAAAATAAGGTAACACATTTCTGGCCTATTTTTCAATGTACACATATTTTAAAGGCTTGCTAATACTTTTTTTGGTTTTATTCTCATCTACCATAAACAAAGACATTCCTTTAATTATCATTAGAAACCCAAGCTGCTCTTTCTGTGGTTTCTTAAATCAGATTTATAAACAGTAAGACCTAATTCTCTAGTATAGTTGTTTGGATGCCTTATAAAATCACTGTTATTTTACTCTCATGTTAACAATTTTATAGTCTACTGGGAAAACGAGACCTCCTGTTTCTGTGATCAAAAAAAATTTAACAGGCAAAATAATGTGAGTCTGGTAAACTACTGGGTATTGATGCTAGCATTCCATTTTCCCCACACCTGGAATCAGCTTCTTGTACATACTAATACTGTTAATATAACTGTTAGTCAGCTGTTATTTTGTATTGCTTATTCACAGAACACAGACCATCGGTGTTAAACAAGAAAAAGCAGCAAGTAAAAAGCCAATGAAAAAGAGAAAAAAGAAGAGAGCCGTTAACTAAAGCTAACATAGTTGTGTATATACTATTAAAAGGATATTTATTCAGTGCTAACAGCTCTGGCTATTTTTTATGCATAAATCCATTGTAAAATCTAGGCTTTTAAAATACGTATATTTTTACATCATGCTTTAAAATAAACCATCTGGAGAATTTCTTGTCTGTTAATTTGCACAGACGCTTCCCACCCCAGCCATAATCTTTCTGTTGAATTTGGGATTATTCATCGTTTTTCTCCTCTCATAACCTTAGTAGGTGTTAGATAACTGACCTAGGTGAGTAAAGTATAAGAACTGATGAGCACAAGGCATTTTTCACAGGCTGCTGCAGGGTATACATGGGATGAAAGCAGAGTCAGAGGAGGCTTATCACTGTACAGGCGGTCCTCAGGTTATGATCCTCCAGCTTACATACAACCCATAGTTAGGAACCAACCCTGGTAAAGCCTGTTATGTTAAAATTTGAGGTACATACAGTGGTTCATAATAACAAATGGG